ACTGTTTTCAATGGGGCTTGAATTAGTGGACTGGACCCCGAAAGAACCAAATCAACGGCCAGTGGTGGACTGAGCCGCCGTGCGAGGGCGATGTTACGGACCATAAATCGCTTCTCCGGGCTACCCATGCCCCGGCCCTCGAATGCGTTTGGGTTGAGGAGTCTTGGGCCCGATTATAAGTATAACGCTTTCAAATCAGAGCATTTTTGACCTTAACCCCCACTCCCTTGTTTGCCCATAGGAGCGAGGGGCGGTTGTGTCTGAAGGATATGTGCTCGGACTATGGTGTTCCATATGTGCCATCCGGCGTCGCATTTTTCAACGGGCGTGGCATTTTTCGACGGGCGTCGCATTTTTCAACCGGCGTCACATTTTTCAACGGCCGTCACCTTTCAATGTGAATAAGCCATTAATCATCATTGGTCAACCTTGGTCCAGCCGGACCTGAAGTTGATGACTTGGATGCTAAAAGTGTGCGTACATATTTTTAATGATTCTGGAAACGGCTAAATTAGCATGTATGCGTCGATTAACTCTGGTTGGTATGGTATTTGCCATCTTGCAGACAAGCGTCGCGTGATGCCTTGCCCCCGATCCGCCTATGGAGATTACAGTGTGTGTGAATGTTTCTATAAAGCCTATAGGCCATCGTTTCTGAATGAGAACTGTTCATCACTGGGCGACGCAACTGGTAATTTTTCTGGAACTTCAACGGGTAGAATAACGTACTCCAGAAGCACTCTGTTTGAACTTCCGAGACAGCGGAAAGATTTTCATCTGACACCATAGGTTTATTTCACTTCGATACGGTATTGGGGGGTTAGGTTAGGTTTTCTTCAAACTAAGCATTAAAGTACCGACACCCTTTATCATTGCAAAAATTACTGAGAATTTTGAACTCAATCAGTCAGGTGGTTTTGTTCTTACAGCTGTTTGAAGTTCTGGCTACATGCGTGCACGCATGGAATGAGCAGTTTGTAACACAGAAGTACCTGACTATACGCGCTGGGGGTAGCTGACACTTCCACAAATAGACATTGGTCATACGCCAACAAGATTTTGACAGGATTCGATAGCCTAAATGAAATGTTTACTCCATTTTAATGAAAAACACCGGTAACACCTGTATAATTTGTTTTAAATTTTGTAGCTAAAGCTTCAAGACGTCTTCAAAGTTTTGAAATAGCTTGCACATTCTTCACCTCTTTCAATCCAACAGGAAACACAGACAGATGGTGTGTCGATCTGCTTTAATGTCTCCACATATTCAGAAAAATTATTTCATAACATGCATTTGTTTTTCAGAGGTACGGGCAATATGCCCATGCCTGAACGGTGTCTGTAGAAGTTACAATTTCATTATAGGTTTGTGTGCACCCCCTTTCAAATTTTACATTGACCCTACCTGTAAGAGTAATGGATTACTGAAGAGTACAACATCATGCATGAACATGTGGACAGGAAGTGAGTTGGTTCATATTTCTACCAGCAATGACCAGAGGACACGTTTCAAAAGTTAACCTCTGCGGTGCAGCGTATGACTTTTCATCTCCTTATATTCATTACAGGTCATCAAGTGCCGGTATACATTTTAAAGTGCCCTGTGTTGATTGTCGTTCTGACAGTCATGCGGGTGAAACAAGTGGTACTTCCGAAAGGCCAAGTTACTTTAATTTTCTTTCTGGTAAATTTGAAAAATCTAATTAAAACAAATCAATAAAAGTGATAGAAAACTTATCGCCAAGATACCACCCATTACAGACGGCATGTACAAACCTGACTTGTCCACAGGACTTTCATAATTGTCGAACTTTTGATCACTATCTTTGTTGTATCCAATCATAACTGTGAGCTCATGTGGACAGACCAATTTGTACATGCCATCCGTAATGAGTGATATCTTGAGATACATTTAAGCTTTACCCACCATTTTCTCAGGATTATTGCTAAAACCCATACTTATCAACACTAAGTAAATACAATTTTCCAGAAGACAGGATGTGGGGACCAATTACTTTAAACTTTTTTTGAACCACCCAGTACATTAACCAGTTTTTTATGCATATGTATACTGAAGCGTGTTCTGGCGACTTCAAACCAGAAAAAAATATTCGAGATTCTATGCCCTTTAAACTAATAACCAGAAGCATGTTTAAGGCGGCCAACAAAATAAAGAACCTGAAACACTTCCATCATCCAACAGAGCCAAAGTACAAGGACAGAAATGTCCTTGGTGATAAATGTCATTTTCACTCCTCATTTAACATGTTTTTTACCACTGTTGCTCTCACTTTCTCTGTCGGTTCACATTCTAGAAGTGAATGCGTCTTTAAATTCACTGCACATGACAAAATGGAATGTATGATTCATTTGCGCGAGAGGCGACGAAAGATGTCCATTTATTTCCCACCAGTTTAAAGCAACGTTCGGTTCCCGTTTGGTCGGATCAATGACGTCAGATAAGCAAAACCGAGGTCGCAAAAAGTGCAACCAATGACCAAAGCTGGAACATGTTCACGGTGGCCAAAACGTAGCATGGTCGCCAAAACACGCCCCTGGTGTGCGCGTCACACACATGTACGTGTAGGTTAAAACATTTTGGGAGAAGATAATTTAGAAAAGTGCTGGAAGATTTTCAACAAATAGACGTACTTAATTTAATGACTTTATCCATCTATCGTTTAAATTAACCAGAATCTATGGGAGAAGTATTCTAAAAGAAATACAGACTGCTTGTTCTTGAGAAGTGCAAAATTGAATACAAGGGAATTGACACACGAATCTGAGGACAGAAGCGCAAGAGCGTCCATGATGATTTGCTTGAATACTGCCAGTTTATCTTGGTTTGCTTATAATTATCGTATCGCAGTCGTTATTCAACAGGATCTCATCTCCAGTCGTCTCAGAGCACTCGCTGCTCGCCAGGCGTTCCAGCACCTGCTGCTTCAAATCCTCGGTCGCCGACTCCTTGAACTTCGTCACGTGGTTTAGGAAATCCAAGACCATACTACCTTCCTCTGAAGCATCGTCGAAGCAGCTAGTGATGTTCACATGGAACCGCTCGTGATGCTGCGAGTACGAGATACCGTGGTGGTCTAGGACATTGCGAACATCTGCTGAACTCGTGACACTGTACGTTTCGTGGTAAGGGCCCATGTGACTCCGAAATCTGGAGGTCCCACTGTCATCTGAGAGAGAACGTAAAACTGATCTCAAGTGAAGAATTAGTAGCTTGTGTATTTATAAGTTTGGTAATAAAGCCATTTTAAGCATCACAGCAGCTTTCTTTGACAGCTGAACCACGGGATAAGGATGGATCCAGAACCAAATTTTCAGCGAGGGAGGGGAGGTTAGATTTGTCTAATGTAACCTTTCATGGCATTTCTAAGGGATTAGGCTATTCAGTGGCTTTTCACTCTTTGAGAAAAAACGTATTACCAGAGAATTTCAATAAACCAACAGTCTCATTATTTCAAAACAAACAAATTTAGCCCTTTGGGGGGTCTTCTGTCACAAGATACGCCCTTAACACAAAGGCAATCTTCGCAATTTGAACACAAACCCATGCTGACACTTTGGCACTGTGGTAGAAGTCTTGTTGATATTGTCGTGCATTAATTGCGTACGCTTTTGGGTGAAGATGTGTGGAATTTTGGGCGAATAGTTTTCTTGCACAATAGTTTATGAGTTAGTAACAGACGTGTGGATTACCAATGTGATACAATACAAATTCGAAGTGCTCAGTGAGCAAATTTGGTATTCGAGCAGCGCATGCCCCAAATGAAGCGAGTTCGAGGTCAATCGGATGCGATTACCAGGCTTGCCGTATCAGTACTTGCACGGTGCGGACTTGCATGGGTGCTTCATTCCCGAAGTTTAACCTTGCTCTTTCATGGAAACCGCATTGTGGTTCACTGTGGCTCACTGGGTAAAGGATTGATGGTTAGTGGCCCCACTAAGCAATTAAAATAATCTGCATATCTTTAGTTACAAACGCGTACCTGAAGAAATAACGACCATAATAATTCCTCCAGGTTTTAGAATGCTGTATAGATACATCAGCGAGTCTTCAAGGTTGTCAAAGTAGTACAAAACATGCATTGCAATGATGAAGTGAAACTTAGCAGAGCTTCCTGCCTTCTCGTATTGCTCAATCGTCTGTTGTCGCCACTCGAAATTTACGCCTCGCTGTTCGAGAGCCTGGGATTCAATCAATGAATGGTACTTCATTAGCTGCTCCTCAAGAGGCTCGAGCACACAGTTAGTGATGCGCGGGAACTGTTGCAAGAGTGTCACCAACAACTTGTAGTCCATTAAGCCTTAGAAAGAGAAGAAATACGTTCATATTACAATAAATAAAGCTGAATGAGAATTGGGAACAATCTCTCCAACAGAAGGTCAAGGGACGCCATATGACAGCCCCTTCCTGCGACATGCATTCGATGTTTCAAAACACGCTCTGATTTTAAAATGCATTAGATTTAAAAGCATGTTCAATTTTCAAAAGAGCATCCTCTTTCTCTAAAAACATGTTCCAGATTTTTGATTATTCCAATACCTGAAGTGTTCATGTGCAGTTATTGCCCTTATCGAACGCTTTCTTCTGAATTTATTTTGGGAATAAATAGCCAATAAATACCCCACTTATCCAGCTAAGCTGCAGGCAGTAATCAGGCATTTTTGGAATGTTTACTAATGTTCGTCTAGCCGCGCGGCGATAAATCATCAGCACATTGATGTGCTAGAGTTGTATTAATTCCTTAAGTGTGCTTGCTCCATGGTCTGATGAAGGCCGAATGGTGACACTTTGTAGTAACAGTTAGCAAAGAAGTCATTATATGAAAGCGATAGTGAGTTCAACAGACTTACAAATATGGTTGGGTTTAAAACCGACACGCACGTTGATGTAGATTTGTTATACATGTAATTGAAACTTAGAATGACTAATTATGCTGTCATTATTTACTAAATTGGGATTATTGCTTCGTATTTTCAACATTGTTTTTGATGTTGTATTTTCATATTTTTCAAAATATTAAAATGTAGAAAGGGAGATTTTTGTGACCTCATCATATCCTAATGTGAATTTTAACGAATGTTTTACCATTTCACTGATCATTGATTTATGCATTTTTTCTCTTTTAGGGGAAAAAAGGAAAGAAACAACTATACAGTTGTATATCCCAATCGTAATCTGTCTCCCTCTCTCTCCTTTTAAAGGGAACAAATTCTTTCTTTGGGAGGGAGAGGAGCTGAGATGCAAAGGAGAATAAACAGAATTGCATATTATACAAGTAAGATTAGCGTTAATAAAACACCTCTTTGTTTTCTAATTGGAATTTTTGACTCTTGTAAATATGCAATTGGCTTTTTGAATTAAATAAATTTAATAAATGAATTAATAAAAACTCTTTTACCAGATCCACTACCAACTCCCATGACTCGAAGGTCTCCTTGTTGGTCAAGCGCACCCTTCAATTTCGGCACTACGGTCTCCTGGATTATGGTCTCCATCCACTGGACATACACGGCGAATTCGCCGCATGCAGCACCAAATGTTTTCAGCGACTGAAGGTAGTGGTCCGTATCGTGAAACAAATTCTGCCAAGTAGACTGCATAGTTGATCGGGATGTGGACCTACAGACTTCGACATTGTTACAGGGTCAGAAAACTGTGTTAGTCAGCGGGAGAGAGTAACGATTCGACAACATTGCCAAGTTTGCCATCGTCGTTGAAGTTTCAATTCCCTGACGTTGATTTATGCATGTATTTTATTTTTATTCAAACATTATTTTACAGGAAGGGCACTGCCGAAATTAAATGTAACACTGAAATAATTTGGATGACTTTCTAGATGCCACAGCTAATTTGCCACCACATAACGTTTGAGATTTCGACAGTTTGAATATATTGATATCTTTCCAATTCGCTAAGGACAACTTTCCAAGTGCCACAGCCCCCCCCCCGAGAAACTAGGTGGTGGCCGTGTTTAGCGGTAATTTAAAAAAAACCCCACAAGACTAGAACACAAGCTCGCTATGCAACTTGTCCATGCCCAACTCCTATGGAACGCCAAATGACCAAAATATGATGTTACTCAGTGAAAGTAGTTTGACCGTATCCTCAATCTATTATGACTTGTGATGTTGTCGAACCATTATGTGATGTTGTCAATCCATTATGTGATGTTGTCAATCCATTATGTGATGTTGTTACTCCATTATGTGATGTTGTTACTCCATTATGTGAAGTTGTCAATCCATTATGTGAAGTTCACAATCCATTATGTGAAGTTGTCAATCCACTATGAAGTTCGGAAACCACTATGTGAAGTTGTCAATCCATTATGTGAAGTTGTCAATCCATTATGTGAAGTTGTCAATCCACCATGTGAAGTTGTCAATCCATATTGTGAAGTTCTCAAGGCATCACGCGGGGGACTATCCCTTTAAATAGCCTGTGTTGACTTTTGTGAAGTAGTGAATCCATTATGTGAAGTTACACCTTGCTACACCTCCCCTTAATTAATCTGGATTGAGAACTTCACATAATGGTTTGACAACTTCACATAATGGACTGAGAACTTCACATAAAGGATTGAAAACTTCAAATAATTGTTTGACAACATCACATAATGGTTCGACAACATCACATAATGCTTTGAGAACTTCACATTATTATACATATTATTATCATTATCAATTTCTGACAATGTCAGGGGTTGTGGAAAGGACTGTACAGTCCATTTTAAACCATGCCCCGCTTAAAATAGAAATACACAAAATGTAAGATTAAAAATTAAATGAAATACAACTCTTATTTAGAATAAAAAACATGAGATAAAAGAATGGTTAAAAGAGAAACAAACAAAAACACTGAATCTGTAAAAATGAGCTTCAATCAAAATCAGATATTAAAGCGTAAATTTCACCAAGAGCCATTAAAAATACAGACAAATACAGAACATTAAGATCATGGACATTAAAAACATTAAATTTAAACTTAAAAGTAGGAATTACATTAAAACAACGCTGAAATTGATAAATAAGAACAGGTAAAAAAAAACAACAAACACAAGAGTTAACGGGTAAAAAAATCATAAAGGCTGTTCTTAAACACGTTCAGTGACATACTTTCAACAACTTGTTCAGGTAGACTATTCCACTCATTGCTGTGCGAACAAAATATAAATATTCAAAACAGTCAGCGAGGGCGAAAGGAATATCGAGTTTTAAGCTGTTATCATTTCGTCCAATTTTCGAGGCTGACGAAAATTTTTTAATTAAGGGCCTCAATATTAAGGAATCCCTTCAAGACCTTAAAACACATAACCAAACGCGAGAATTTTCTTCTGGTTTTAAGGTCAGTCCAGCCAAGATAATCCAATAATGTGTCGTAGCTACTATGCCAATCTTTACAGATAAATCTGACACTCGAGTTTTGGACACGTTCCACAACAGCTGAGTGGTTAAGTCCGTAAGGCTATACAACAGTAATCTAATCGAGATCGAATGAGCGAAATATAAAGTTTCTTCAACATATTAGTTGGGCAATTTCCGAAATTGTGTTTAATAAGCCCCAGTGTTTTAATGGACCTGGTGTACATATCTTGACAGTGATCATTCCAGTTTAATTTATCATTTGACATCATTCCCAAATATCTTTCACCATTTGTAAACGTTAATTCGTTATTTCTAATATAATACAAATGCTGACAAGGATGGCATTTTCTCGACATACTCATGACTTTACACTTGTCGACGCTGAAATCCAATTTCCACGGATCTGACCATTTGCACAGTGAATTTAAGTGAGATTACAAGGTGCCAACGTCTTCATCCGTAATAATTGGTCGATATAAAACACAGTCATCTGCATAAAAACCGAGTGGTTGTCTGTAAGGCTATACAACAGTAATCTAGTGGATTGAATATTCTCGGAGATATCATTAATAAAACAGAGAAATAAAACTGGACCAAGAATGGTACCCCGAGGGACACCAGATTTCACCCTGGACCCAGATGAGAAGCGACCATTAACATGCACTCTATCTCGGAGAAAATTCATAATCCATACACTTGACGTTTGGGCCTTTATTGCCATAAGTGATAAGTTTTTTGTATAGAAAGTCATGAGAAACTCTGTCAAAGGCTTTAGAAAAGTCCAGGAAGACAATATCAATACTGTACCCTGCGTCTAAGTTACTGCTCCAATCATGAATGGCATCTATTAATTGAGTATAACAGGAACGTTTGGCTCTAAACCGTGTTTATTTTCATCAAAAATATTATTATTATTAAGGTGGTTGATAAGCCTATTGCAAACAATTCCTTCTAAGGTTTTACTCAAGATAGATGTGAGTGAAATGGGCCTGTAATTCTTTGGATCATTTCGGTTGCCTTTCTTTTAAACACGGGGACCACACGGGCCCTTCGCCATTTATCGGGAATAGCACCTGTTTCTAAAGAGATCTGGAATAGTTTACAGAGTGAAGGTGCTAGGTACTCCGCTCCCTCCTTCAGAATCCTGGGAGAGATATTGTCAGGACCTTGACATTTACTTACATCAATATCTTTAAGTAATTTACAAACTTCATATGGATCACACCTGATATCCTTCATCATGTCAACACTAGGCTCAAGATTAGGAATGGGATCATTAGGTCCACGGTAAGTGTTAAACACAGAATTAAACTGGGTATTCAGTGCTTCGGCCATCATATCTCCATCAGTGATTTTGTCGCCGTCAACAGTTGAACAGTCAATGGAGGCGTGATCCGATTTACAGTTCTTTACGTAATTCCAGAAGTTTTAGGATTACTATCTACATTAGAAACAATGTGGTCGATGTGATTTGCACGGCTACGATTGATGTTACGTTTTACCTCGCGGATGACCTCTCTGTATGGTGACAGAGCTCTGCATTGTTTGTTTTTTGGCTTGCTTAAAAAGTCTATTTCGCTTTCTAATTAGTCTTTTAATCTCTTCGGTGATCCAAGGAGTGGGTTTACTTTTAGTACTGAGAATTTTGTAAGGAACTGTGGAGTCAATGACATCAAAAAGTACATTCCTCCAAGCCAGCCAGGAAGACTGAATGTCATCATCTTGGATCACATCAAGCAGCTTGGGCACATCATTGACAACATCACATAATGGATTGAGAACTTCACATAATGGATTGCCAACATCACATAATGGTTTGACAACATCACATAATACATGTAGATTGAGGACACTACTTTCACAGAATAACATCCTATTTTGGTACAGTTGGCGTTCCATAAACTCCGGCCGTCCGCCGGTACAACGCTGATCTGCGCACAGCTCGCTGGACGAAGACGCTTACCATGGACCAGTACGCACAGTACACACAGACTTCCAGTGGGAGTCAGTAGGACATACCATTCACCAAAAAGGGGATAGCACGTGGCCAAGAGTGAAATACATGAGCGTGTACATCTACATGTAATATGAAATGGGGTTTCCAGTGATTCGTTCGTTGAGAATGAAACATTAGTTTATTCATTTACCGTGATGGAATTTAATCTAATTCACACATATATTAATCAAACAATCTTGCAGAAGTGAACAAAACCTGGGGCAAACAACGCAACAGGAAAGTTATTCCCTGGACAGTTGGTACGGAATTTGATACATGTTCCACTGAAATTTTAGACAAATACATCAATGCATAAATGTCAAGACGTAATTAACATTAACAAAAATAGGTTTATTCAAATATAGTAATAGACTTCGTGTAGTTTACACACATACAAATTACATAATGCTGCTTTACTTAATAAAAAACTAGCACAAAAGACAGGTTATTTTCTGGACAGCATTTGTACAATAAGAACCTTGCGTGAATCTCTTGAACTTTCCACAAGTACTTATAAAATCAGTTGCATGCATGTGAACTGGCAAGTTAAAATTAATGGCATTAGTAGTGGTATTGGCCCTGTAGGGAAGGGGCGTGACGATACGCTTTGCCTCTTACTGGAAATTGAGTGGAGTTTGGCCACCATCATGAATCTAGTTTTTCCTGGTTGTCTTTACTAAAAAAAAAGAAGTGATAACATTAACCGATTTTCTTGGTTCCACATCAACTGATTATTCTTGACTCTGTTAAAAAGTACATTGTAATCAACTTCGTTCCGCTTTTGTCTCTCCATCACATTGTAGGCCTGTGTCTAAAGCAAAATTTTCCAAGTACAGTCATACTAGTATACCAGTACGTTTTCTTTCTTTGTTCCCGTAGGCAGGTGAGCCAAAAGCACGATTTGCGGATACGTATTATTTTTTCAAAGGAAAGTTGTGGGCACTTATCATAAATGGGGCACAAAAATATTTAAGTATAACAAAATAACAAATTTGCACTAATGGCCGACTAGCATGATAGTTCTGTTAGAAGAGCGTTATACTTAGAGCAAGCAAAGTGGGGGTTCGAGTCTATAAGTATGCAGTTATTTTTCTCCCTTGGTGGGGAATTAGTTGGTTGGAGGATGTTTTTTTATAAAAGGAAAGTAAAACACCACATATAGCTTAGAACTTAAGTTTTTAAGTGTCCACAAAATTGATCAAGCTTGCATGCAGTTCGCTACACCCATACATGATAATTTCCCCTCACCCACCTACGGAAAAAAATCGTCTCTGGCACAGCGCAGCCGAGCACTCACGCTAGTTCATTGCGCCTTGTTTTTCAACGATGATTTCTCAGCATATATAAGATAAAAAGCTTTTTAGATTAACATAAGCTGAAACTGCAATATATCAGCTTTAATGAGGTATATGTTTATTTTCAAATGTTTCAATATGTAAAGTAAGCAACTTTCGGGATTTTTCCCGGTGAAGTCCACTTCGGAGATCGGCCTACAGCCACGCGAGTGTACGTTACTCGGTGTACACACACAAGCACACAATGGATAGGCCACCAGGGCTAATCAGAATAAGCGTTTTTTACATTTCGGTAAAGTGACGGGGCAGAATTTAGACCGATGACATCAGGTTTTATATGACAAGAAAGGATATTTCAGTGAGGTAATGCGCCTGAAAGTATTGCTTCACACAAAAATCGCGGAGAATCATGTTGAATACCTAAAAATGACAGAGGTTCTTCTCTTCAAATAAATATGAAATTCCGAGTTAAAATTGTCAAGTAATTCATCTGTCTCCTGCCGCTTGAGCGTAGCATTTCTGCCAGAATCGTAAAAAGGGGTGTTTCATCTGCATTTTTCAAGGGGCTTGGGAAGCGGTCGTGTGGCTGAGCGTTAATATGATAACACGAGTTGATAAATTGTTTGCCGTCTTGTCGAATTGTGCATAAGTCCGTTTTACTGGTGCATCCAGGCTTGGTCATAAAACTTTAGAAAAAAATCGAAATATATGCTAGCGCTAGCATTTTGCACTTTTCAGTGCCGATTTCAGTACCTTTATCGTCTGTTTAGTTAGTTTACTTGAGGCTGAAACCTGCAGTGGCCATCATCTTCTACTTAAATGCCGAAGCGATTCCAAAGCGGCTGGTCACGAAAGTGCATTGAAATGTAAAAGTTTTATATAAAAACAAAGTATCCACTTTGTCGTGGGACCTTGCAATTAATTCCCCAAATCCAGCAGTAAAATAATCAGGGGGACTTAACTGACATTTCCTTGTTACGGAAGCACAAATACTTACCAAGCTACAGCACCACCAGTGCCATCTGAAATTACAACAGGACACCGATTCCCCATATCCATAAAGGAAGAATGAAAATGCACGCAAGGAGAAAACTTCGCTTAGGCCTACCTAGTCATAATCTAAGTTGCTTTCAAACCGCTGTATTAGCTAGCCCACCTCCCGCGGGTTGTGAGTTAAAAGCGGAATTCTATACCAGGCAAGGTATGGGACGGAGGGGTACCCCCCCTTACCTGTCAAACCCCTATACACACTCTAGACAATTGTTACCTAACACATCCCCCTTAGAAGTCTGTAAATAATTCCTGAGATTCCGATCAATGACCAACACAAAGGCGGGGGGTTCTCTCCGTCCCATATCTTGCTTCAAATGCGGAATTCTATCCATGGATGTTTATATTCCTCTGCTAGATAATTACATAGACGCGAACGCCACCATGTCATTCCCGTTCAGCCCTGCTGTATACTTATTTTATGTTGCATTCTAAGAATTAAAACAATTCAGGGTCCCGCCACAATGACATATGAAACTTACCGAGGGATGATTTGCAAAGTCTATGACTGCAAGCGCTACAAAACAGCCCAACACCGGATACGATATCTGTCATTTGCAGACACGGCCACTGTAGGACGCCATTTTGCATTGTTACTGCTGCACTACCTCGGCTTTATAAACACTGGTGACCATGACCCGGTTGTGTAATTTTTCGACCCAGCTCTGGCAATTGCAGCCACATATGGGCCGAGAAAAACGGAGCATGTATGTGTGTAGGCTACATCAAAGATTGTATAGCGCCGCCCCTGGCAACGATTTTCACAATCTCACCGTTTTGGGGGCCAAACAATCGCCTTACTACTGATTGTTTGTTTGCACCACCGGTGTCTCACAGCATTGATTGTGGAAGTAAACTCACCAGACACCATGAAATAACAGTTGTTAAATATTTTTACAACAAATGGTGTACAATTTGCTAAAAAAGTCAACCTCCATTGCTGGCCGTGCCAGCTGGTGTATAATTGGCACACATATGGCAGCCAGGCAACATCTTGGCAGTTGTATGATGAGGAAAGGCCGGCCATCAAGGCAAATGATTCAGTATTTGTTAATCGGAAGTTGTTCGAATGGCACTGCTCACTTGCGTAAGTTTTTTCCCCTATAGCCTAGGCCTAATTATTGGGAAGATGGACAACAGTAATTGAGTCTTATACAAGTTCCATATACGGACATCAGTAATTCTGGGTCCTACTAATTACTGTCAACACACCGTCAACACATGATAGGCCTAGTATAATTTAACGTCAACACAGCGTCAACTTCCCAAAAATACAACTTTGATCTAGAAAAGCATGAAAAGAGGGATAGAATACTTGGGCTGAAAGAGACTTTCCAGTTGTTGGATGTCAGAAATCAACTTGCAAAATGGATTTTATCACATGAAAAAAATTTTTTTTAGCTTTGCAGCGTAGCTGTCCGCTGCCATCTTGCCTCCTCATTGAACTTGGACTGTATTTATGTTGCTGACCAGAGGAGATTGTTCCACGAAATCATAAATAGGACCTTCATCCATGCCATGTGAAGTTATGTGTGTGCAACACAAAAATTGTGTTAACTTGTTATATAAATGATGCACAATGATATCTAAAAACCTTGCAGCATACAGATTGGATGCTTAGATTGCTGTGCATACACCACCGTGTGACCTTTTTTCAAACTCACTAATACAGCAGGACAGGCATAACAACCAACCAGTATAACAAACACTTTCTGGACAAATTTAAAAACTGACATTAGAATTCGGTTAAATTTGTTAAAACTTTTAACTTTTTGCTTTCCTTTCCTGCAGCACGTCAGATGGATTGCATGCAACAAGTGCTCAAAATGGTTTCACTAGGAATGTGTGGCCATCAAAGTTAGTGATGAAGAGGCTGCAGACTTCAAGATTTTGTGTCCATTATATGCTCTATAAATCAACTTTTGAAGCACTTTTTGACAAAGCGGTTAAGCTACAAAAACTGTGACCAATTTGGTGTGTTAGGTCAGAATGTTGTCACTGTGTGTGACGTCCTCAAAATTATTGCGCAGTTTGAAGAGTTGTAAACGTATACATGTATTGTTACTGATTTCTTTATTTAAGAAATCAGCCAGCCTGGTACATTAAGTCATTTGATGTACACGCACCCAATTCAATAACACCACTTATAGATTCGCCACTTTGGGAAAATACAGAATGCAGAGGTCATTGGATTGTAAACGAACAGAACAATCACGTTTCAACTGTAATTGCTCTCCTTTGGATGTATAAGTGTCATTTTTTGGATGGCTTTTGCAAGTCCCCAGTTAGGAAAAGGAAGCCTTGGTATCAAAGTACCTGGATATTTCATAGTTGCTCATTTGAGGAGGAGCTGGCATGCTTCACATCAGTTAATGATGGTATACTTTCCTTCATGTATATTTAGAAAATGCTTTGGCGTGATAGGTTTTCTAGTTCATGACCATGCATCAGTGTGGTTCCATACATTTTATTTGTAAATGCACATTAGTAAAGATTTCCGGGAAATGGTCTAATTAAACTTCAGGAGTTAAAAAAAAACAGAAAAGCTATTCAGTAACATACATGTACCGGTACCGAGGGTGGCACACAGAAGGAAAACTCAAACGGCAAGAAATGGTTCACTTTTAACATGTTATTGTGGGTTCATATTTATCAGAATTCCACTCGTGCATTATTTCAATTTTCTTTCAAACTACTCCAAAATATAATGGTAAAGGACATTCTATAACATAAAGATTTAAAAGTGTCCTCATAACATAGAAGTGAGAGACACGATCACAACGCGTCAGTTTTTGTACAGTTAAGAAGTCTTTAGTAGTTTCAAGTAATTCCATTAATATCTCACAGATACCCATCTCACAAAATGTTTCTTAAGCTGTTCCATCACATTCAAACATTATGTTCAATGCCAGCGACTTTGCTAAATACATAACAGTGGGAAAAAATAACAAATTCAAAGCATTTACAAAATTTAAAAGGCAAAAGGCATAGTTGAATTGCAGTTATTTTATAAACTACAGACAAATGCACATTTCACCATTAACCTGAATGTCTGCCACTCTATCGAAATGGGAATCAGACAATGTCCAGTCAGGGAGGAAGGAGGGGATGCTGTGTGTGGTTGCATCACAGGAGAAGATCGTGGATGGTAGTTGATGGGTCAAGAAGGTAATACGCTGCAGTATCAACCATGACGGAGTAGGTGTTATGGGATGAAAGCATTATTCAGGCAAGTTTTTAAATGTAAATCCACCAGTACAGTATTCAGTCCCCTGTAATTAGAAACCAATTCTTCGTATTCCATAAAACAATGAAAATTTGCACCAACTCAAACAAAGACTTCCAGGATTCTGTTTCTTTAAAATAACCTCTTGAGTTCCAGTTTGCATTTATTCCTACATGTCCTTTCGCACGGTTTGCAATTCTAGGCGGCAGTAGGTTGTGTCTACCGCATCTCACAAAAGTGTTTGTTTGAACTTTATTCGATAACTTATGAATAATTATTGGCAGATTGTACGGGGCGTTTGAGTTGAATGCAAGACTCAGATCAGTACTCGTCCCCCAAGAACAGCAATGCTTATACCTAGCAAGATATGGGGCATCACCCGTAAATGTCTGAAGAGAGTTCCCGAGATTCCCATCAAACAATGAGCGACACAAAAGTGGGGGTGCCATCTGTCCCAATGTCTTCCCTGATGTGTATATGCTCTTAAATATTGAATATATGACAACGTTGTAATCGACACTCATTAAGAGTAAGACCTTTATAACACCACACGAGACAAAGAAGACGACCTCCAGTCCAGGCCGAATTCGAGTTGCAAGCTATTTAATTGAACTGCAACAACAACATTCCTCTGTCATTGTTCACCCTGTACCTTGGGAGTGGCCATGTGTGTGGCCTTGTGCATGGTCTTGACTACGACAACGAATGACTGAAACGCAGTGTAATTTTTTCCACAGTACAGGTATTGTGAAATGTGTATCCCCACTCGTCTATATAGGCCTACATACACATTGAATCACATAACGAATGCTTTCATAAAACTTGTGTGATGGTTTAACGATTGAGCATGCTTACTGATCCAAATACTGTCTGGAAATAAATGGATTGGAAAAAGAAACATTTTCTTCAGTGTCGAATTAATAGCGAATAACAAGCATCTGTTTTAATGCACATGTACACATGTGGGTATGTGGACACTGTTTCAACTAATAAGCCTTTTGCAAATTAAGTTGAATAAATCGGGTACACTGAGTTCGATTCATGTGAACCCAGCAATTGGAATTATCCACTAGTAAGACACTTGCTATACCTCCTGAATTAGGACAAGCTTTTCCTTAGTTACGTAGGAGATGCCAACACACTATTTAGTGGATAAAAACGGAACCAGTGTATTCCTGAGACGGTACCTGTGGTCGGTTTGCAAAACTTTGCCCCGATTCACGAGGCACATTTTAAGAATGATGACGGTCTGCCCATACTCGATTGTGTGATGGAAACAAATCCCTAACCTCTCCTAAACTGTACGTAGTACCAACTGCTTTTACTTCTCTCGGCTTGTATGGTACCTTTCAATTATAAGTAGGGGAGATGGCTGCCGGTGACGGCAGATGCGTAAAGAACTGTTCTTGTACAGGGTAGATGCGTTTAGACTTTTCTTGTACAGGGTAGATGCGTTTAGACTTTTCTTGTAAAGGGTAGATGCGTGTAGACTTTTCTTGTAAAGGGTAGATGCGTGTAGACTTTTCTTGTTGTAAAGGGTAGATGCGTGTAGACTTTTCTTGTAAAGGGTAGATGCGTGTAGACTTTTCTTGTACAGGGTAGATGCGTGTAGACTTTTTTCTTGTACAGGGTAGATGCGTGTAGAATTTTCTTTACCAGGGTAGATGCATGTAGAATTTTCTTTACCGTGTTCATGTGCATGCACACGTGTAGACGTTTCACATTATGCTACGTGTAACGATAGGGATTGGTAGACGTTCGGATCATTAACTTACACACGCGCTTGAGGGCCCTTCTTCAGTCCAATATGTGTAGCCGTGTATGTAGTCTACACACATACCACTCAAGTTTTTTGGTCCCATATCTTGCCGGGTATAAGCTCTGCATTGTTCTCTTTTTCCACAGCCTGTCAACAGGTTGCGTACGGTACATACACATGTTGTTATTACCCGAAAAACTCCAAACTATTGAATTATTCTGAAGCTTGAATTTTCTCCGATGCAACAAAGAAATAAAAAAGACACTCTGATATAAGGAACTCAAGTATGATTTAATTATGGAGAAAGGAAGGGACCTCCTTCCTCCATGATTTAATGAGAATGTAACACTTAGCATTAGGGAAAACATTATTAACAAAGAAAATGTTGAATAGAAACTAGTTTACACTGATAAGGAATATCTCATATAAACAAGGTGTTCTTACGGGCGAGAACTTGGCAAGGCAATACGGTGAAGAATGCTGGACTCCACAGATGGCGAAAAACTGGTCAGTCCTTGACGGTGCCAAAATAAGCTGCAACGGGAAAGACCACGTCGAATAAGAATAACCGGGCTCGAGACGAAACGGCGAGGGCGTGATGAGAGTCGCAATTACGGGATTGATCATCTCACAAACTGGAACTGGATTCAGTTCACAGACTGAATCCAGTTCTCTTCCGGAACAAAATTGAGCTCTGCACTTCACTTGGTCTGGACGAACTTTTCTTACAAATGTCGCTCCACAGACGACTCGCCACCACAGGTTGAAATGGTGCAGAAGTCAACAAGTCAAAGACTTCTCACAGCCCGCGTACAGTAGTAGAATTGCATTCCAAAATCTCTCTGGCTGTGTGTGTCCCTCTCTCTGTCTTTCCCCATTTTCATAGTCTACAGTTCTTCCAGAGATTTCTCTCATCACCTGAGTTTCTTAAAATACGCTTTTTAGCATTTCTTACGAGAAACCTCCTAAAAATACACTACACAACGACACTTAAGACTGTGGTGAGGGCCCATGACACTATCATATAGGAACATCAGAGGATTTGTTCCTGAAATTTCACTTAAACCCTATCAGGCTCTTAAGCTTAGTTTAAGTGACTGGCAGCCGATCCCTAAAAGTTTACCTCATTTGTCATTCGTTGATCTTGGGGTTTGGAATGCCCTGGCCGGGTCTTGGGAACCCAGACACTCTATGCACCAGTGGTCAAACTCTCAATTCATTGGATGTCAGACACTGCTCGGTTCTTAGATTTCTTTGAAAACAGAAGAAATTCAAACCAAGAACATTGCACAAAAATATTACGCATCCTACCCTCCGTGGGTGACGAATGCATCTGAGAGTTAAATATGAACAGATTTTTCATCAGGTATCAAATTACAAGCGATCTAGTCCACAAAATGGCCAACTTCTATCAGCTGAAATGCATCAACCAATACAGTAATGGAGTCATATTTAGAATAAACAAACAATTCCAAAGTTGGGCAGTAATGTTACCTGGGTAGTCAAAGTCGCCTGACTTTGATGAGTTGATGAAGAGCCAAGGTTCAGGTACATTTTGAGTGCACACAAAAATCTTAACTCAATACATGAACATTGTTCAATATCTTTCGGACAGTTCAAGATATTATTTTGAGACCCCGTGTGAACACAAATGTGAATATTTCAACCTTGATGTTGAAATTGGGTGTCAAATGAAATAGCCAATATTGACATCAGTTTTCACGTCATGACTTTATCCATAATCGCGAATACTGACGTCAATATTCACAATTGGCGGTTTCCTTTCGAACCATATTGCTTCTGACAAAATTAAAAGTTTTGAAGGGGCAACTGTCTATGCAAAATATTCTAAAGGGGGCGTTGAAAGCCCATTAACTGTTGCTTTTCATAGGCTGAGCATATTTCAAAACTGCAAGGGGGAGGTCAGCCTTTTAGGTTTTATTCAGGAAAACGTGCTGTCATGCCCCTCTAAGATACAAAACATACAATGGCAGCACTTTAACTTTCGAGCTCTCTCCAGAGTTTTATACAACTGTAAATATTTGTTTACTTTTTATGTTGGTTGCTTTTTAAAATAAAGTTTAATTTTGTTTAACTATGAGACCATTGTTTTTTTCGGGGGAGAGGGGCTTTCTTACTTTTGTCATACTCCATCATTTTAATGGCATGCTAATGATTATCGTTAACACAATCGTTATGTAGCACGATCTCATTTCCGCTCGTTTTGGAACACGCGCTGCTTGCCAGGTACTCCAGCATCTGCAGCTTCAAATAGATGTTCCTTTAACATGTAGTTAGATCAAATAATCATTTATCGGCTGAATCAAGCAGAATATGTGGGAGAAGTGTTATAAAGCAAATATCTACTGCTTTATCTCTTGGTGTCGTAAAACTAGGGGTCCATTGTGAAAGAGTTCTCCATGGAAGGTCTCGGGAGATTATAGTTGTACTACACTCAAAGCTGTCAGTATTTGAATACATTTCCTTAGCTCGAGCTCAAAGCGTCAAGTTTTATATCGTAAATTCTTGAGGAAACGCTATCGAGACAAGCGTATACACGCAAATTGACACACGAATCTGAGGACAAAAGCGCAAAACAGCGGCCATGATGATTTGCTTGAATACTGCCCGTTTATCTTGGTTTGCTTATAATTATTGTATCGCAGTCGTTATTCAACAGGATCTCATCTCCACTCGTCTCAGAGCACTCGCTGCTCGCCATGCGCTCCAGCACCTGCTGCTTCAAATCCTCGGTCGCCGACTCCTTGAACCTCGTCACGTGGTTTAGGAAATCCAAGACCATGCTACCTTCTTCTGACGCATCATCGAAGCAGCTGGTGATGTTCACATGGGACGGCTGGTGTTGCTGCGAGTACGGTATAGTGTGGCGGTCTAGGATGCTGCGAACATCTGCTGAACTGATGAAATTGTACTTGTCGTGGAAAGGTCTGAAGTGGTCCCAGTATCGGAAATACCCACTGTCATCTGAGGGAGAACGTAAGAAAAGATCTCGAGTGTAGAAACTACAACCTGCAGTTTAACAGGGGCAATTCATGAATTCATGTGATAGTTGCCACCATTTCGTCACGACTATCTCAGCTATCATGGAAGCTCAATTTGATAAGCAAGCCCTTAATTTACAAATTTGAATAAATTATGTCATTAATTCTCCATTTCGTTTTCTTTTACCGGTATAGCCCTATCAGTTATCAGAGAACTGCTCTCCCCCGGGCCCGGGAAATAAATACCGTAAACAAAAACTAGCCATTTTTACTGATCAACTTAGTCCAGCTCTAGACCCTTTGTCTAAAATGACCAATTCAAATTAGTCAGACAGGCTAATGACTAACATTTATCAGTAAAAGGTTAAGTCAAATATTCGTAAAATTGGACCACAGTCTGTCACTGTTGACTAAAGATTAGTCCTGTCTTGATTTAGTAAGTCATCAAAACCCGATTAATCTATGAGCACAAAATAACTAACTTGGGTTTACAGTGAATGCACATCATAGTGACAGCTCGCACTTCTCACTTTGCCAGAGTCTTTTTGAAATGAAATTCGAGGGGAAGTGTTTTCTCACACACACACATTTTGTGGGCTTATCTCGTGGCAGACGGGTAACTCATCAATATCTATGACATTGTCATCGATTAAGTCGTAAATCTGTATAGTTGGCCTATTTGTCTTACGGAAAATTTGAACTTTATGTTTATGCTTTAAGTTTTAAAAACCTACCTGACATAATAACAACCACTGTAACTCCACCAGGTTCAAGTATGCTGTGCAGATACATCAGTGAGTCTTCCAAGTTGTCAAAGTAGTACACAGAATGAACTGCAACAATGAAGTGAAACTTAGTAGGCTCTTCCACCTTCTCGTATTCCTCGATCGTCTGCTGTCGCCACTCGAAATTCACACCTCGTAAATCAGAAGTCTTGGATTTCGTCAATGCCTGGTATTTGACGAGCTGCTCCTGAAGGGGCTCAACTGCACAGATGTTGATGCGCGGGAAGTGTTGTAAAAATTTGACGAACAACTTGCACTCCATTTCGCCTTTAGGAGAAGAGAAATGTTTACACAAATTAAGTATGCGGAATGGATCAGAGTCTCCCATGGTGTCTTGAGAGTAATAGAGGAGCCGCTTTGTACACACGTAATCAGCGGGGGAGGGGCTTCTTCTTTGTTACGCAAGTATTTCACAGATAAAGTGTCCTCCGAAATGTTGTCTATGGGGATACAGAAAAGGTGATATAGAAAAGGAAGGGATGACATAAATTGGGTTTTGCAAGAGCAGTCTATCAATTTCAGTCGAAATCAATTGGTGTGGCTCTATGATTATTGGTCGAGTGCTTTATTTGGACGACTGGACAAGTACTTTCTCGCATTACATGCGCGCATCGTAAAACATACATGTACACGTAATTTATGCAATGTTTTCTGCAGTGAGATGCAATGGCGCCAAGCGATGCAAATGAGAGGAAGCAATGCAAATGAGGGGATTAGTTGAAAGGGGATTTGTTCTCAATACGTCAGGGCATATAATGCAGATCTGGCGATGTTTAACGATCAATGTACTCCACTGGGTCAATTGTGAATTGAAATGACACGAAGCGTTGTGAAACATTTTGTTTTTACGTTATTATGCCATTAATTTAGTATTTTTACACGTTTTCAGCATTGGTCGGAATGCACGTTGACGAATTCGAATTTGTATCCTTTCCGTTTTGTTCCGTGATGTTTTGCTATTCAATCTGGTCGTGTCGTCTATAACCATGCTACAACTGCTCTCATTTTATCTTCATAAATCCCTAATTTCTACAACAAATTAAATTTTAACATTAATTAACTCATAAAAAACTGTCGATCTCGTTTTCGGGATAATTATCACGATCATCCCACGTGAAAGTTGTCCGTGCACTGAAAAAGTGAATTCGATTTTCCCGACTTGTGTATATTAACAATATACCCAAGTCAGGAGAAAGAGTTTGAACACACACATTGATGGAAATCTTTCCAGATACATGGGTAGTTCAGGTCGTGACCTCTTAGAAGAAAGAGGCTTTCCTTACAACATGAATTTCCCTGATGTTTGTACATAGCCCTACACAGTTGCCTCGAGTCACCCCTTACCCCATGACGTGCATGTACGCCCCAGCGTAATACTGTAAAACAAGATGTTCGTTATCAAATCAAATGTCAAATAAAAAAAATCTCTTACCAGATCCGCTACCAACTCCCATGACTCGAAGCTCTCCTTGCTCGTCAAGCGCACCCTTTAACTGTGGCACCACGGTCTGTTGGAAGATGGTCTCTACCCATTGGTCATATATGGCGAATTTACCGCACGCTGCACTAAACGCTTTCAGTGACAGCAAGTAGCGGTCCGTGTCATGAAACAAACTCGATAAAGTAGACTGCATAATTGCACGGGATGTAGGACTTTAGGCTGCAGCATTATGGCAGAACGGAAAAATTCTTTATTAGCTTGAAAGAGTCTAAGTTTGACAATTTTTTTTCATATTTGACATCGTCATTTCAGTGCACTGATTACTTTGTCATACTTTCACTTTAATAAAGAGTTGGAATTCGCCTAATTTCCAGTTCTCTGACAGTCAAGTTTCATTTCCCCGGATGATTTATTCTAGCACTTCACTTTTTCAAACACATGCACTGTGCTGCACTGCCGCAAGAAAATATGTCAGGTTTAGACTTCTTCCTTCTGTTTCTTCTGCTTCACGCGTCGGGCGGTACTCAAGCCAACACCCCAGAACCAATAAAAATCCTCCCCTCAAACCATGCTGCATTTGTATAAGCCACAATTCTGAGAAACTTTCATTCCTAAGTACTACTACTCTAATTCCTGCATTTGTAAACGTTCGTTAACATTCTTTTGTGACCACTACAAATCACGAGTATAATAGCAGACTGGTTTCCCAGTGTTGGGAATGGCAAGTGACCAGACATCCCAGCCTGCTGTTTTTTGAAACAGCTGGCTCAATGCACACCCCTCTGTAGGACTTGCAGCAGTGAAGGAGAAGGGATTGGAAATGGATTGATGTGAAGGGGATGTTGAGGGTGTGGGGAGGAGAGGGATCTCATTACCGATTACACGCGAAAATTTAGACAAAGTAGGGATGTACAATCAACGCCATTTGCCTCACCTTGATTAATTTTACCAAACAAAATTGAAAAAATCTACCCGCCTCAATAAGGTTTGCAGACAACAAGCAGCTGTGCATTATTTTTTTTAACATTAAGATGACCTTGAAACAGTTCTTCAACAATTAAAGATCACTGTTTAACTTAAAATGTCCACCTTTGCATGTTGACTTTTTAATATGCTTCCATTCCATAACTCATAATTAGGCAATTACCGGTAGGCAACAGTGAACACTGTGAATAATGTGCTACGTCTTAAACATAACAACGAAAAGCGCCCTCTTTATCAAGTTGACAATTAATTAACCGTCATGTGTATACTGTATTATGTACGGTGCACATACATGCACATATGCCTGTTTTACGTACTAAGTGTGGACATTCCTTTGTTCTCCTGTGGTTGAGGAAACTTGAGGAAAGTGCTCCTTTTTCTCCAACTAGGACAACTCCTTCAAGTTGGATTGTTGATGATGATTCCCTGGGTTGTTCTTCTTCATTTTGCCACGGATAACCTTGACCCCAAATGCCTCTGAATCTGTCCTTCAGAGAGGGTAACATCGTGTGGACGTGTGCGAGTCCACACAACGCCCACACACACGGTGCAAGACATGTACATGTGCACAACTTGAAGCTGAAAACCCAAAATGCTGCGGTTCCCGCTGACATAATGAGACTTGCTGAGAAGAATTTTGCAGACTCAGAGTTAAAACTTTACAACCACCTAAAACCGAATTAGCTATGCCCCGTTTGCTGCAACACCAGCACGTACGATGATATGGGACGCCATTTTGTTTGGTATTGTACACCATTTCAATGAGTTTATGGTCATTTTGACATTAAACCAATACCATGGACGGAGCGGACGTCGGACCCCACAGTTCTGGGGGTATACGACGGACAAGTATTCCACTGTACGCAATGGTGTATAATAGCAGCGTTCATTTCATCTCAGTAAACAAAAAAAAAAAAAAAAAAAAAAA